GCAACCCTGCACTTGCCAGACAGGCACTTATGCCGCTGAGCTATCTCCCTGGCCCCCAGTAACCAATTTAAAAATAAGCAGAAGCTTTGAAACAGTCATAGAAACCCCCCACCCCCAGGCCAGTGTCCTGGTCACCACCAATGACAAAGGTAAGCCCTATCTAGGCTTGATTTTTCACAGCAGGATCCTACAAGCTTTTACTATAATGTCTCAGGCCAGCCTGAGTAAATGTAGCTGAGCACCGACAGGCACTCATAACCCCTGCAAGATTTCATTTCTATGAAGTCCATCTGTATATCTTTAAGTGGGAAGCGTCCACCACTCCCTTGCATGAAGTCAGGGCCCTAGACGCTGAAGACACAGACGCCAAAGCCCAAGCTAGCTGCGGGAGTAGGGGTGCCGGCACTGCGGCTTGCGCTTGCAAAACAAACAGTGGGGTGGGTCTGGCTCTGTTCTTCTGGGAGTACCAGGGGGTTTCCTGGCTGGGGTTCATGTTTCAGTCAACTGGCTCCCTGGAGGAGGCTTAGGCCTTTGGATCAAGGTACTGTGCATTGGTGGCAGGGTTCAAACAGCAGCAGGAAACAGTAGCAGGCAAGCTTCGGCCGAAGTAGCTCTGGCCAAGGTGAGCGCAGCCTTCCTAGCCTGGAGGACTCCATTCCTAACAGAGCTGCTTCCATACGCAAGCAGCGGGGTACTCAGCATCAGGCAGGGGTTTGATTTTCAGGTCTCGTTGGCCAGTACAGAGCATGGCACCTGGACAGTTAGGTCTCAGCCTAAGATGAGCTTGCCAGCTTTTTTTTTTTTTCTTTCTTTCTTTCTTTCTTTTTTGGCAGAACCGGGGATTGAACTCAGGCCCTCGCATTTACCAGGTAAGCGCTTATTCTACTGCGCTATCTCCTCGGCCTCTTGGCAGCTTTCTTGATCAGAACAGCAGCTGTGCCAGCACAGAGGCAAAGGGGGAGGCAGCCCTCAACAACTGGATCCAAGATTTTGCACAGGCAGGCGCCAGGTGCTCCCACGGGCTGACAGTCTGAGCCAACATCATTGCTTTTGTGGACTTGAGGACCTGGATTCTACAGAAGCCCGAAGCTCCAAGATATCTGCAGAGGTTTCTTTCTTGTAACTAGTTTCTGCCGCATACTGCAGCAGAGCTTGTGTGCCTCCCTGGCAGGCAGCTTGGGTGTCATGAATCGGAAGTGCTTTTCCCAAGAGGAAACAGGTGGAGTCCAGGTCGGCTGCAAAGAGGTGCTGGCTGACAGGAGCCAATCAAAGGCAGAAGAAGGCATTCTTAGGTCCAGGCAGGGGCACCAGCAGGATGTGGGTGGCAGGAGACGGAGGCAAGGTACACAGAGGGCAACTGCGCTGGTGTCACC